GGGGGAGAGAGGGGGAGAGGGAGAGAGAGGGAGGGAGGGAGAGGGAGGTAGGTAGAAACATCAATTGGTGGCCTTCTGTATGTGCCCCACGAGGGGATCCAACCCGAAACCCAGGTATGTGCCCTGACTGGGAACTGAACCCACCACCTTTTGTTACATGGGACAGTACTACAACCAACCGAGCCACCCGGCCAGGGCTCATTGTTTCTCAAAGCTATACCAGTTCATACGCCCACTAACAGTATGTAAGTTTCTAATGATCTACACTTGATATTATCAGCTCCTTAATTTTTGTCAATCTTGTGAGTATAAAATATCTCACTTTTAATTTTCATTTCCTCGATTAATAATGAGGTTAAGCATTTTTTTATGAAATGTCTTTTGTCCATTTTTCCCTCTAGGTTGTCTTTTTTAAATCGATTTCTAAGTTCTTAATATATTGTAGAAATGAATCCCCCTGGCAGTTAGATTTTATCCAGCTCCTCTCCAACCTAGTATCATAACCTGAGTGAATATCGATCTCGCTGCTGAAACTTATTCTTGTAAAGGCCTAAGTGACTCTCCTCATTATTGTATCTTTAAACCTTACGTCTTTGGTCTCTTGCTGTCTCTCTGTAGTATTTTTACTATTCGCTTCGCTCCTTGGTCTTTACTGGCTAGAACCTTCCTAGCTTCCTGCACCCCCCTCTGTTCTTGTTTTTTCCTCATGCTCCCTGGAAGCTGGCATTCCCCACGGTTCTGTCATTAACCTTACTACTCTACGTGTACTTTTTCTGGATTATTTTACTTCTGTAGCTTCAACTATCACCTAGTAGCTGGTGACTTCCCAAATCTCTCTATAGAGCTGAGCTCCTGACTTGCATTTTCCATGCCAAACCGACCATTATTTGTTCTTGAACACCTGCCATTCCAATTTAGCGAGATTACTAATTGCTGAAGCTCGAAAGCGCAACTGGCTCAAGGGAAAAACTCAGGAGGAGCCTACTCCTCCTATTTTCCCGGACGAAGCTGCGAGTGAGTAAAACAAGATCACTGAATGATCCTGTGCTGCATTACGTAAGTCAGAGACGAGTAGCTGGCAGCCCGTCTGTCCCCATGTTTTTAAAATCAGGAAGTATCACAGGAAATACCGAAATGACTTTCTTTTCCTAAAACATGGGGAGGTCTGGCAACAATGAGGTACAACAGAAAAGGGTGCAGATCCCATAATAACGTCGGTTTGTTACTGGTGCAGGGCCCTGCTTCAGTCTTGTTCTGAGCATGTCTCTACAGGCCCTTGAGTTTGCAACCCCTGGCACACCTATGGATGTCACAGGAATTTAAAGAAACAATTCTGCAAAAGAGGCAGAAACTAAGCTGACTTTAAGTAAGGATGCAGATCAACAGTTGATGGCAGAAGTTCAGAAAGAGAAAGTACAAGATACAGCAACGAGGAGGGGAAAGCACATGGTATGAATAGAAAGTAGAAGCCCTAAGTTGTATCTAGCAGTGGTAATCAGCAGTCATACACTCCGATGAGAGTGTGGCATAATGCTCTGGAGTTAGATCTTAATCCCCCAGTCTACCACTTAGTGCTAAATACTAAGCCAAGTCACTTAAGATGCCTAAATTTGTGTTTCCTCAACTATTGACTTACTTAATCACATTTCCTGATTTAATGAAATATAACAGCATAGTTAGTATTCAACAACTAGTAATTCTCTCTCCAGCACCCTAATTTCATAGCAGAAGACCTGGGTCAGAGGTATGTAAAGGTGACTTTTCCAAGTTTATATAGCTCCTGTGTGTGTGTGTGTGTGTGTGTGTGTTGGGGGGGGCGTGGATGTGGATGTGTGTGTTCTTTATCCATTCATTTGTGATGTGACTTAGGTCACTTCCACATCTTGGCTTGTGTAAAAGGCT